CAGAGCAGCAGTCACACAATCATCTCAGTACACATGGTCATTGCAATTATGCTAATTAATATCATCTTCCCAGCCGACAAAGAAAACAGTGGTTCGCTCTCACTTGGACTCGGCTTCAAAAACTCAGGCCTGAGGTCAACGCAGGAACGACGTGTTACAACAACATGAGTACAAGGAGCAATAGAGAACACACACAGGAGGAAATGGACACTTTTTTTATGTTGCTTCTGTAAAGTTTAATTCACTGACATTTAAAACAGATCCTGGGTAGTTTTGATGGGCTGGTTTGTCTTTGGTGATTTACTGGGTAGTTTTGATGGTCTGGTTTGTCTTTGGTGATTTCTCAACTTTTCTTTCCTACTTTGTTGTCTTCTAGCTATCTTGGCTATACTGTTTTTTGCTCAAACTTTTACATTTTTTACATTTTGCCTTACTTTTATCTACATGAAATCTTTTTATGAAACCTTTTCTTTATTATTGCATTACTATGATTACTGTTACTATTAACTCATTCATCATTGTTTTTTATTTGTAACATGGTGTTTTTGTTAACATTTTTTCATCACTAAATTGAATTGATACAGCAGGTTGTCTAACCTGAGCAGTTTTTTATTCTTACATTTAAACAGTATTTCTTTTCACTTTTGCCCACTTTGTTACGACGTACAGTATCTGATCTAATTATTAAAAAAACAAACAAAAAAACTTTTAGCTTTCACTAGTGTAACTTTGGCTATCCACTTGGCTAAAGGCTAACTCTCTTGGTTTCTTATCTGGGTAAAAATCAAATACTGAAAAATCAAACACTAGAATTACTGAAAGTTAATGAAGTTTTGTGTCCTGCAGAGGCCAAACATGAGCTAAAATTCCACTCAGAGGTTTTGCAAAAGTCAACGATATATTTTGCAGTGACATTACAAGCCCCACTGACAGTTTTAAAGGGAAATTAGGATGTGTCAAGGGCATTTTGCCCCCGAGCCCTGTCTACTCCTCTGACCCCAGTGTGGGAAAGAAAAATAGACTCTGCAGCTGTGGACACGCTGGGAAAGGTCAGCGTAAATTGTCGCATTTAGTCAAATGCTGGTCTCCTGTCTTCCTGTTGGCACTTTACGGACAGTTTATAAAAATGCCTCTCCTTTCACGGTCTCAGTGTGCGTCTGGCTGAAACACGATGCCTGTCATGTAGAGGTGCGACAGGAAAATGTCATATCACACACACACACACACAAGTTAACACGAATGCAAAATGACACACCCACAAATACACACACAAAGCAGATAATGAGCCAACTATAATGAGACACTGCTCTCCTTTCACTCCAGCTCTGTCAGGTGTGGGAGATTTTCCATCTTGATGAGAGGCGGCGAACACCTTGCTCTGTAGGGGTGAAGGGAAACGTTATGCCATTTCCTGCACAACACCTCACGCTGTTCGTATTATACACCTGGAATACATTTGTATTCCGAGAAGTCATTTAGACATCAGAGCATCTGACAGGTTATCAGCTCGCAAAAAAAAAACAACTGCAACATTTGCTTCTTGTAATGAGTCTGAAAGTCTTTTATTTAATTTTCACAGTCAAACTTAATGGAGCCTTACTTCAAAAACGTACCTTTAACATAGTGCAGTCCTCTTTTGTGATAAGATGAAGTACATTGATATTATAAAACGGACCATTAGCATATACTGAAAAGCAGCTGGTAAGTCCAAGTCAAGACAGGATATTTCTTTTGTGCACTGATGGACTTTTCAATTATGAATAAAAAACCATAAACCATCTGAGGGAAGTATATAGATAAAATCGTACTTTATACTAAATACTTTACCATTGACCTGTCATTAATTCAGAGGTATTTACTGTCATCATCACAAAGTAAAACGTAAACAAGTCATGTTTAAGGCTTGTACAGCTTGTAAAGTCGTATGGAAACCTGCCATCACAGACTTCCCCAAACCAATAAAAATCTCCCTTCCGGAGATTCAATAATCCACATAATCCACGATCAAAATCAGGAGCTTTACTTGTGTGTTTACGAGTAAATCTCTTCATAAAAGAGAGAAACGTATACCATATGTGTAATAAGAATGGGAATACCAGATAATCCTTCAGTAAACCAGCAACACATGAAGGTAAAGTGGCTGCAGGATGTGCGTCTGTTAGCGCCATACGTTTGAAATGGCATCACCAGTCACCAATCATTGATTTGTGAAGAAGACCAACCATCCATTTCAAACCAAGGTCATTATATTTAGTGCTATAGAGGAGCTGAAAACATCATCTGTAGCTGTTGCCCTCCACACAGGAAGAAGTTCATTGGATAGTTTTGGTGGAAATCACTCGCCTCGAATACTCCTTACTGTACTGTACTGTACTGTACTGTAAAACAATTGTGTCATGATTAAAATAATGTATTGGTTGAATTACACCGGGGGTTGTCACAGCTGAACCACTGTGACCCTGTGAGTACTTGTTGTTGTTCATCAATATACGATGGGTCGATATGAAACCTTGAAATCTTCTCACTCACAAATCGATGAGTATCAGTCAATAAGTGAAGGTCTTGATGCCACGTTTCAAAAACAAATTGTCTACTGGTTGGGTTATAGGTTATCCTCCATATTAGAAGACCAAGAGTGCCCTCTAGTGTAAACAAAGCGAAGAAGAAGAAGATGGAGAAAAATAGAACAAGGATGAGCAGGGGAAGGAGAAGGAGAAGGAGAAGGGGGAGAAGATAACAACGTCAACACCAACACGAGAGAGAAAACAAGACCAAGCAAAAAATAAACTTAAAAAAATGACGTTAGCATCTTTTATGTAAATATTTATGTATATTTATGTAAAGTTAAATAGTGACGTGTTTACAAAGCAAAAACACAAGATCTTTAACAATTACTAACTGTTACTGTTTGTTTGTTTTTTGTTTCTTGGGACTTAAATTTTGGACAAATATTTCATGTATTTTCCATTACTCTTGCTGTGGATTTCGATTTGTTTTTCTTTAGTGCCCCCATGAGGTGAAAATATCTCTTCTCTC